TTCCATCACCTCTGACCATCCATGGCAGACTCCCCTGCTGGTTTGGTTATTCTTTATCTGGGACTTTTGTGGAGCTTAATTTTGCAATTCATTTAAATAAACGAACCCCTGCGTGATTAACCAGGAGACTTGTGTTCTGTTTGCAACACTGCCTCGCATGCCAAGAGCGTTTACTTTAGACGCTCACAACGTTTTTCTAGACAAGGTGGCGGGAGGCTCCCGGCTCCGAGAGCACAGGGATGGGTTACACCGCGAGTGCACAAGCGTTTTCACCCCGAGTCACTCGATTGGCGACGAGGCCTATGCTTCCCCTGCAGAACACGCTGCTCAGACCTGGCCGCTGTGGGGCCGGTAGAGGTTGTCGGTCTGCTAGCCCTGCCTACCCGCCCAGGTCCCGGGGGTCTGAACAACCAGCAGATGAAAGTGAACCGAGGTGCTGAGGACACAACGCGAGCCGGGGCCGACAAGGCACAGGACAGCTCTGGTTGCTATTCATTGTTTCTTCACGGCAGGACCCCTTCCGTTCCTGAGACAACATGAGATTCCTGCTCAGACACTTGGCTTAATTCAATAGTGCGAACAAAGCCGGGTCCAAAGCTATTCTCGCTCCCCGGCCCAACGGGGACCCCGAGCTTGGCTCTAGGAGCTGCTGTGATACAAATGATCCTCTTTTCTTAAACCCCAGCAGGGTTTACCTCTCCGCATCCCAGCCTAGATTGGAGCAACAGGAGCAACTCCCATCAACCGGTAGCAGTAGTAAGCTGTTATCCACTACATGGAGCAGTCACTCAAGGGAGATTTGATGTGCAATTTACGTTCAAAAAGTCATATTAGATCAGGGGGCTCAAACACGCGGCCCGAGGAGCTCTTCCCTGCGGCCCGCCAAGCTCCCTGTGCCCCCCCCAGTTACTTCCTGTCGCCGCCAAACTCCCCTCACCCCCGCCCCCTCCCGAGTTATTTTATGTGGCAGCTAAGTTCCCCGCGCGCTGCTCCCCAATGTTTGGGGCCAGGTCTCTCCCCCGCCCCGCCTGCCGCCCCCACGCGCCTCCCCCGAGTGTCCCCCGGCCTCACTTGCTGCCCCTTCACTGCCCCAAGCCTGCAGCTCACCCTCTGCTCTGCCCGCTCCTGGCATCACTTGCTGCTGTAGGGTCCTAGTGCCCCCCTGCACTAGGGTCAGGGCAGGCTGCCCTTCCCCTGCCCTCGTCCTGAGCCTCTCCAATGCCCCAAGCCCCTCATCCCCAGCCCCACAGCCCTCACCCCTGCACCCCCTCCTATCCCCAGACTCCATCCCAGAACCTGCCCCCCCCACCCCCTGCCCCAGCCCAGAACCTGCACCCAGCACCCAAACTCCATCCCGGAGCCTGCACCCCCACCCCCTGCCCCAGCCCGGAGCCTGCACCCAGCACCCAAACTCCATCCCGGAGCCTGCACCCCCACCCCTTCCCCCATCCAAACTCCCTCCCAGAGCCTTAGGCAGGTGGGGGCGGAGTTTGGGGGGGGCAGGTTTTGGGCACCACCAAAATTTCTATAAACCTGCCACCCCTGGAAGAGGCAGACCGGGGGGAGAAGTGGTGGTGCAGTCCAGTGCAGTGGGGGGGCTTTACTGAGTGTATATATTTTATTAAAACCGCTTGGAGGAGGAGGTGGGAAGAGGCGGGGCAGGGGCGGGGCCTCATGGAAGGGGTGGAGTGGGGGCGGGGCCAGGGGCAGTGATGGGGGGTGTCAGTGATGCGGCCCTCGGGCCAATGCACTAGTCCTCACGTGGCCCTCGTGGTGATTTGAGTTTGAGATCCCTGTATTAGATCATGGAGACAAGGGAGAAGGGGGCTGATTTAATCAAGGGCTGGATTTCCAGCAAAGACTTTGAAAGAGCTTTGTTTGTGGGCTTTGAGTTTTGTGAACTGACCCAAAACCCCGGGGGTTGGAGGCCAGCGTAGGTTGCACCTTGGGTGTCTCTGGGGTCCCTCCAGCCCACAGACCGATCCCGCTTGTTGATCAGCATTAAAGAAGCGTTCGAGTGTTTGCGAATGTCCAAACATCACATAACGTATTTGCGGGTGGGTGGGTCTGCACTGGCGCAGGACGGCATGTCAGTCAGTGGCTGTGATGAGGTGGGAATTTCCTTAATGTTCTCTAGGACTACTGTACGTGCCTCAGTTTCCCCTATGTGTGGCACAAGTACAGGTGGCAGGACAAGGGGGTGTGATCATTGCAGAGACCTCTGGAGGGCAGGTCTGACTACCGGCTGGCTCTCTGGACCCAGACAATGGCCAGGCCCATCCGCTGCCAGGAGCCGTCGGAGAACAAAGATAGAGGTGGAGGCCAGGGGAGCGGTTTGGCCGGGAAAGAGGCAAAGGATGGAGGAGGGGAACTGATAAACCTTCTGTTTTACACACTGACTGCGGAGTTGGGGTGCAGGGCACCTTTGTGGGGGGGGGCGTGGAAGCTTCCCCAAGTGGCCCATCCGGGGGGCCTCCCTGCGGGGCTGAATGTGCCGAGGTCAGAGCCAGGAGGTGCTGGATCCAAGGAGGCTTGCCCTGGTGCCAGGGGCCCCGAGGGGTGATCTCGCCCGGGCTTGGCTGGCACAAGGACGGCCACAGCTTCCTTTCGCCGGGCAGTGCCACCCGTTCGCTTGGCTGCCGTGGGCACAAAGCGCTGCTGCTGCGTCCCAGGGGATGGACCCGGCTGCAGCCCGAGGGTGGTCCCACTGCTCCCGCGAGGACAGGAACGCGTGGTTAGCCAGCGAGAGGGGTCCAGCATGGACGGCGGGCCAGGGGAAAGATAGTGTGTGTGAGTGAGAAAGGGGATGGGGGGATGGACAGACAGATGGGGGTGGGGGTGGGGTGTCTTGCATTCATTTAGCTGGAATAAATCAGCCCCAAGGGTCAAAGGTGCTAAGATGACCCTGACACTGTCAACGTCGATTAAACCAGGTTTGGGGGTTGATACGCAGGGACCTCACCCTGCCCAGCCCCCCAGCAAACGCCATTAACACGCCTTTAAACTTTGTATTAATTAACGCGGCAGGAAAGAAAGAGAAAACAAACCAGTGAAAGCCTCTGGAGTGTAAAGGGTTGAATTAGGGTTTTTTAACCCTGACCCTTGGTCTTTGGTTGTTTTCTGGGGGGGTGGAAGATGGTAACAGGGTCTCCTTTGTCCAAGACTCTATGAGCGAGAGGGAACTTGAGGGAGCCGGGCTGGAGTGGGCGTTGCTGCTGTTTTCTAGGCAGCAACATGAGACAAACCCACGCAAAAGGGGCCAGACCTAGAGGCTGGCAAAGGCCGAACGTGCAGCTGCAGCCTCAGGGCTGGGAAATCAGCCGCTTTGGGGCCTCACAAACTTCTGCCAGCTTCTGGTCCGGTTCGTCTTGTGAACTATGCAGCCTTGGCCAGCGAAGCCAGATTCTTATCAGCCAGGAGGAAAGGGAGAGGGGTGGAAAGCGGAGAAAAAAGGCCGGGAAGGAAAAGGACACACTGGGGAAAACAGAGGAGCGTCGTCTACACTTGAAATGCTGCCCCGGTGCTGCCAGCCCTCCAGGACTGTCCTGGAGTCTCCAGGAATTACAGATTAATTAGAGATCACGTCATGCTGTGAAACCGCCAGGAACACGGCCGGCCACCACTGGTAACCCCGAGCGATGCAGCGGCGATACTTGGGTGCACACACTACCTACACTGCTGGGAAGGGGTCTCCCCTGGGCGTGGTTAATCCACCGCCCCCAGAAGTGGGAGCTAGGTGGATGGAGGAATTCTGTCTACACCAGGGCCCCAGTTGGCTTAACTACGTTGCATAGGGGGAGTGGATTTTTCGCACTCCGAGTGACACAGCTGGGTTGACCTCGCTTTAGTGCAGACCAGCCCGGAGTCTCATATCCCAGGTGGTATCTGGGGGGGCGGGGTGCTCCTGGTCCGGTCAGGACGCTGCAGAGGCGTGAGAGTTTGGAGCAGGAGCCCCCATGGAGCAGCGGGGGGAAAACAACCGAAATTGTCTGAAGTTGGAGCTTGACAAGTGTCTGTCTGGGATTTTAGAGCGGGCAGGGGCTGGTGAGCAGGAGGGCCCCTCACTCCTACGTTCTTGCGTAAAGCAGTTTAAAATGCTGCTCCCTCCCGTTACCCGCCCCCCGGCCACGCCCCTGCTGAAGATGGGGAGCGGACCACGGACATCAGCCAGCCCTCGCTGCAGATAGACGAGATACCGCCGCAGCTTTTCTGCACATGTGGATTTTGGACTCCAGGGCTTTCTCTGGAAGGAGCCCAGACCCGGATTGTGTAATCGGTTGTGCAATCGCACCGGCCGCCGGCAGAGCGGACTCGATCACAGACGGGCACAGGAGAGGTGGAAGGTCCCAGCCCACCATGGATCTCCTGGGAGCCGTCGCCCTGGTCCTGGTCATCTGCCTGTCCTACCTCCTGCTCCTCTCCACCTGGCGGCAAATGCAGGGCCGGGGGGCAATGCCCCCGGGGCCCACCCCGCTGCCCCTCCTCGGGAACCTGCTGCAGGTCGAGCTCCGCGACATGCGCAAGTCGCTGATGAAGGTAGGTGGGCTCTTCCCGGGACGACCCAGGGCGCCCTGACCCCGTATGGGTGACCCCGCCCATCGATGGCCAGGGAGCCTTATTAATACCTTGTGATGACCTAGACCCAGGATAGCTATGGGGCAGGGGTGCTGTGTTGGGGGAGAAGAATTGGGGGTTTGAGGGGAGTGGAAGGGGAAGAGAACGGGTGGGGGTGAGGAGGGTATGGGGTGGTGTGGAGAAAGGGCAGGAGTGCTGCAATTGGGGGAGGGTGGGAGTGCTGGGAGGGGAGGGGAAGGGGCTACAGGCAGGGGAGAGGGGGTGCTCTGTATGTATCAGGGGGAGAGGCTGCTGAGTTGGGGGAAGGGCACGGGGATGCGTGTGGGGTGAGGAGGGGGAGTTACAGAAGGTGCCCTGTGTTTGCGGGACCGAGGCTGGTACGTGGGAGTGAGGAGAGGGCTCACGTCCGTCCCCCCGACACTCTGTCCCCCCGGCCCACACGGCGTCTCCGTCTCAGATCAGTGAGCGCTACGGCCCCGTCTACACCCTCCACCTGGGCCCCCGGCGGGTGGTGGTGCTGTGCGGCTACCAGGCGGTGAAGGAGGCCCTGCTGGACCAGGCCGAGGACTTCAGCGGGCGCGGGGAACAAGCCACCTTCAGCTGGCTCTTCGAGGGCTACGGTCAGTCGTGTGTGCGGGAGGGGAGCGAGCTGGGGGGCGCAGAGGGGGCAGCTCCCGGCCGGGGCTGCGTCCGCTCGGTGCCGAGCCTCTCCGGCTGGGGGGTGCCGAGCTGTCCTGCGACAGCTCAGGAGAACGAGTCCCGCCGCAGGGCAGATGGATGGGAAGTGGGACACCCACCCTAAACCGGCTGTGAGCTCTCTGCTTAGCGTTCACCCCGGATCGTCCTCCGGCACCACACAGCCTTAAGGTGGGGTCACAGGCAGTCCCCTGGGCTCCTCCGATCTAGGGCTGCCACCCCTCCAGGACTGTCTTTAATTAACGAGCCACGTGCCGAAACCTCCAGGAATACGTCCAACCAAAATGGGCTGCCCTACTCCAATCTGTCTCGCCACCTAGGTGAGCCCACCTTACGCCAAGAATCACAGCACTACTCAGGTTCCTCCCAAAGGACCCGTCCCGCACCCCTCCCCCACCGCCCCGTAGGTCTCGCAGCAAAGATGACGCTTGTAATAAACGGCGGGAAGAGTTATTAACTAGGGAAAGGAAACGAGAGAGACACTTACAAGGTTAAGGCAGGTAAACGCAGAGACACACGAGGGCGTTCTGATTGTAAATTTCAAAAAGGGACAGAAATATCTAGTGGTTCCCAACCAGGGGGACCTGAGCTCTTCCCGGGGGGACGTCTTCTAGCTATTGGCTGAGTTTTACAACAGGCGACATAAAAAGCGCTAGCGAGGTCAGTACCAACGCCTTGTTTATACGGCTCTGTGGGCTATCCACGGAAACGTAAGTACCGTATTTATAGTCCGTTGGATTTATTTTATAACTACATGGGAAACATGAGCGAGTCGGCCAGTTTTCAGTAACCATGTGTCTGGTTTTTGTATTTCTGTTTCTGATTTTGTGAGCAAGTCGTTTTTAAATGAGGTGAGACGTGGGGGTGCGCAAGACGGACCAGGCTCCTGAAAGGGGGACAGTAGTCTGGAAAGATTGAGAACCACTGGGAGCAAAATCTATCTGTCCTTTAGAGCTAAGCCAGGCTAAGCACTGGGGATCTTTTCTTTATGACGCGTGATCCTTCCGTCGCCGAATCCAACCAGCATAAACATCCAGTTCCTCCTGGTTCTTTTCACTCTTTTCCCCCTTCGTGTGGGCAGCTGCAAACTCAGGTGGTGGAAGGAATTCATCTGCTTGACTCGTCTTCTTGGAGTAGGGTGAGCAATCAGCCAAGTCTCTGGTCCTCTTTGACGTTCTGCCAGAGTTCGTCTTTTTGTCGATGGGCCTTGCAGGCGGGGCAGGACATAGGCCTTCTGGGAGAGATCGGCACTGTCTCTCTCCTGCCTGGAGATTTGCAGTCCCACTTCCATAGTGCCGTACACCCTGGGACACAGCTAGTCCGGGTGACATGGAGGCAGGCAGCCGTTTACCGGGATGGAATAAAGTCGAAACTCAAAACCCATTTTTCGGATTCTAATCCCTATTTTAACAATCCTCTCACAGCTGATCCCGCCTGGCTCCAGCCAGGCAGTTGTCAGGGATCCACTGAGGCACGGGGTCCTTGGCATGGGGGGTGGGGGGTGTAACGATGCTGCCTTTGGTGGGACACTTCTGAGGTACCAATTCAGATTGCTCAGAGCAGGGCCGTCCCAGCACACCACGGCACCAGCCAGACAGAGGGGACTTCGGTCTCACCCCACTGGCTACCCACACGTCACACAAGCAATTCCCTCAGACACTCCAGCTTCCCAGTATCGCCACCAGCGCCACTTGTTATGGGGATGAACGGTTATGAAAATCAATCCTCCAGTAAAAGAAAAAAGGTTCTTCTGATCCCAAAGGACCAAGCCCCAGACCCAGGTCAATATACAAGTCAGATTTTACCCACAAATCTCGCTGTTGCCAATCCCTTAGAATCTAAAATCTAAAGGTTTATTCATAAAAGGAAAAAGATAGAGATGAGAGTTAGAATTGGTTAAATGGAATCAATTACATACAGTAATGGCAAAGTTCTTGGTTCAGGCTTGCAGCAGCGATGGAATAAACTGCAGGTTCAAATCAAGTCTCTGGAACATCCCCAGCTGGGCTGGGTCATTCAGTCCTTTGTTCAGCGCTTCCGTTTGTAGCAAAGTCCCTCCAGAGATAAGAAGCAGGATTGAAGACATGATGGAGAAGCTGCAGCAGCCTTATATAGTCTTTCTCTTGTGGGTGGAAACCGCTTGGTTCTCCTGTGCAAGATCACAGCAAGATGGAGTCTGGAGTCACATGGGCAAGTCACATGTCCATGCGTGACTCAGTTTGCAGTTCGGCGCCATTGTTTACATGTTAGTTTGAACGTTCCCAGTTGTTGCGGAGTGTGGGGGAGTCAGGGCCCTGCACCCCTCTTCCCGAGATTCACTGCGACTCTCAACCATCCAGTAAAGCAGAAGGTTTATTTAAGGACAGGAACACAGTCTCAAGCAGAGCGTGTAGGTACGACCAGACCCCCTCAATTAGGTCCCTCTGGGAGGTTCAGGGAGCTTAGACCCCAGCTTGGGGTTCCCTGCGTTGCACCACCCAGCCCCAACCGAAACCAAACTCCCAGCCCCTCCCGCTGCTCCTCTCCTTTGTTCAGTCTCCCGGGGCAGAAGGTGTTAATTCTCCCCACCCCGTTCTGGCTCAGGTTACAGCTTCAGGTAGCTTCCTTCAA